CCACTCCCTTGGATTACAGCCCCAAGATACTTAAAACTTTCCTTCTTAGGAATGACTTGTGCGGCAAGTCTCACTTCCACATCTGTCTCATCTACCACATCACTGAATTTGCACCCCAAATATTCTGTTTTGGTCCTACTCAACCTGAACCCTTTGGACTCCAGCGTTTGTCTCCACACCTCCAACCGCGCATTAACTCTGTCCCGCGTCTCATCAATCAGTACTATGTCATCCGCAAATAACATACACCATGGGACCTCCTCCTGAATAGACCGCGTTAACTCGTCCATCACCAAAGCAAATAGGAAAGGGCTTAGGACTGATCCCTGGTGCAGCCCCATCTCAACTGGGAAATGTTCTGAGTCTCCTCCAACTGTTCTAACCCGAGTCTTGGCTCCACCGTACATGTCCTTTATCGCCCTAATATAAATCATCGGGACTCCTTTAGACTCCAAGCACCTCCAGAGGACATTCCTCGGTACTTTGTCATAGGCCTTTTCAAGGTCAATGAACACCATGTGAAGGTCTCTCTTCCTTTCTCTATACTTTTCTACCAGTCTACGCATAAGATGAATGGCTTCGGTAGTCGAACGTCCCGGCATGAATCCAAACTGGTTCTCGGAGATGGACACCCCTTTTCTCACTCTCATCTCCACCACTCTCTCCCAAATCTTCATAGTATGACTCAACAATTTAATACCCCTGTAGTTGTTACAGTTTTGGATATCACCCTTGTTTTTATACAACGGAACCATTGTACTCCACCTCCATTCATCAGGCATTTTCGCTGTCTTAAAAATAACATTAAACAGCCCAGTTAACCACTCTATGCCTGCCTTGTCCATGTTCTTCCAAAATTCTACCGGAATCTCATCGGGTCCGGTCGCTCTTCCCCTACTCATCCTACTAATAGCCCGTATAACCTCCTCGGGCGTAACGCACCTACAGTATCCAAAATCCCGAAGTCTTTCAGAGTGTGCCAAATCACCCAACACAATGTCCGCTTCCCCTTTTTCATTTAAAAGTTTGTGAAAGTAGCTTCGCCATCTTTGCTTGATAGAGGTCTCTTCCACCAGTATTTTGCCTTCCTCATCTTTGATACACTTCACTTGGTCCAAGTCGCGCGCCTTCCTCTCTCTTGCTTTTGCGAGCCTATACAACTTCTTATCCCCACCTTTGTCCCCCAACTCGACATACAAGCGTTCGAAAGCTGCCGTCTTCGCCTTCGAAACAGCTAACTTAGCTTCTGTCTTTGTCGTCTTATAGGCTTTCTTAAGCGTCCGCTTCTCTTCCTCGTCTACGCACTCCGCCAATTTTGTGTATGCAGCCTTCTTCGCTTCCACTTTACCTTGGACTTCCCCATTCCACCACCAATCTCCTTTATGTCCTCCGAATTTACCCCTAGACACCCCTAGCATCTTAGAAGCAACTTCCCTAATGCAACTAGCTGCTTTATTCCACATGTTGTCCGCATCCCCGCTACCACTCCATGCCCCCATCCCCATCAGCTCCTCACCCATCTCCCGAGAAAGGGCAGGGGTCAACCCACCCCATTTAATCCTCGGTCGGTCAGATAACATCTTCTTCCTCCTATCCCTCTTAATCTTCAAGTCCAACACCAAAAGCTTGTGTTGGATAGTGAGGTTTTCACTTGGGATAACCTTGCAGTCCTTAAATAGACCTCTATCACCCCTCCTAAGGAGAAAGTAATCTATCTGGGTCTTAGCTACCGGGCTACGAAAGGTAACCAAGTGGTTCTCCTTCTTCGGAAAGCATGAGTTAGCAATCACCAACTCAAAAGCCTTAGCAAAGTCTAGAAGCGAAGTTCCACCTCCATTTCTCTCCCCAAAACCAAAGCCTCCATGAACATCATCAAATCCACTAGCAGTTGCCCCGATGTGGCCATTAAAATCTCCACCAATGACAATCTTCTCGGTATTCGGTATACCTCTAACTACCTCATCCAAATCCTCATAAAAGCGCTTTTTGGCCTCCTCGTCCAAGCCCACTTGGGGAGCATAAGCACACAGACCGAGAACGTCAAAAGATATTCCATTCAAGATCAAAATGTGAACTAAATACAGTCATTCTTAAAACTTGGTTGCAATAGACTTCTCATATTTGACAGAGCACACTCCAACGTAAATGAGGTTCCTTTGACTTAAACTGAGGTAGCTTAATAATAAAATGTGCTCTTCTCACTTATCAAAATAAATGTGTTCTTCTAAGTCATTATTTGAGTTATCCCCACTGACTAAGCCATAATGGAGAGACATTGTTTTAGCCTTGAAACTCATCTAAGTTTGAACACAGTATACATATTTCTTGAAACTGTACAGTATACATATTTCAGGATCTTAAAATACAGTATTTGGCTGTTTGATACACTTCACTTCACTTCACTTGGAAAGCAATGAAGTTCTCTAGGTATCTTTGAATGACCATAATACACCTCTGTTCAGTCTAAATGGAAGGTTGCGCTCCAGCATTTATTTACCAGATCCCTACCATGCATAAGTGCATAACTAGTTAATTGTAGAAGGATTGACCTTATTACTTCACTAAAGATATAATGCATCAGACATATCTTTCAGTGTTGTACCTCATCATGCCATAGTGCAAAAGTTTCATCATCATCTTCGTAAACACTAATCCATAATCTATCAGCTGGGAGTCCATATCTGCAGACAAAGACTATTTGACAATCAGTTCTTTTCAGTGCAAAGAACAAAAAATGGTAAAATTATAAATATGTTTGCATAATGCATATATGGATGTAAATGTTGGGTTTACAGTTTACTAAAAAATGCAGCAGCTAGAAGGCTGAAAAATATGAGAGAATACCAGAGAAGGAGAGAGAGAGAGAGAGAGAGGGGGAAGAGCATCACAACAACAACAAAAAAAAAAAACCAACATAACAACGTGATCACACCAAATCTCATTATATAAAATGAGACTTTTTGTGGTTACATAACAATGGTTTTAATGATATGATATAATAAAATTAAGTAACAATCAAAATAAACATTGTATTTAAACTAACAACACAGTACAATATTACATGTAACAACCATCCATCCAAACAAGCTGTTAACTCTTACCAATCCCAAGAAAAAAAAACATTACAACTTTTCAGAATTAGTTACTGACAGGAAGGACTTTCTTGACAATCTCATCACTAAGAGCAGCAATCTGAGAATCAAGACTCTTGATTGTCTCCTCCTTTTGACTCTCTAAGCTAGCCAAAGCTTCTTGCAATTCAGCCTCAACTTTCTTCCTTCCTTCTGCAATCTTCTGTTCTACTTCTTGCTGAGTCTCTTTCTTCATCTTGTTCAATGCTGCTGATATCTCAGCCCTTGCAGCCTTCATAATTGCAGCAGCCTGGTCTTCCAGTTGCTTCACTTCAGCAGAGGTGTCCTTCACACTGCTCAATTTCTCCTTAATGGCAGAATCTCTTTCATCCATGAATTTCCCTAATGGGCTGAAGTAAATCTTGTCTAAAGCAAACATGAGAAACAGGAATTCAGCCATCATGATTGGGAGTGTCAAGTTGAAATCAAAAAGGGAAGCTTTTTCAATTTCTTCTGCTAGTGAAGGTGGTGCCATGGCCAATGAGCTTGCAAGAATGACTGAAATGGACTTGAGAGTTGATGGGATTGAGAGGGTTTCAAGGGATTTGGGTGATTTGGGGAGGGGTAGTTTTGGAAAAGGGATTTGGGTGAGGGAAAGTTTGAATCTTGGAGATGGAGGGATGGTGGAAGATGAAGAAGTGATTAAGACTTTGGAGGAGCTCATCATCATGTTGGCCATGGCTTCTTCTTCTTTTTCTACTCTTCTGCAACTTGGGATTTTGCAGTTGTAAAAAAACAAAATCTTTTTGAGAGGTTCGAATCTTGATTATTTTTTTTTTAACAAAAGGAAACAAGGAAGATCTTAGAAAGGCTATCTCAATCTATGCCACACAATAAGTTGAGGCTGAGAATTGGAGCTCTAAGGGTGTGCGACTCACGTGAGGTCATTCTTTTTCTCTCTGAGTATATTTTTCTAAGTCATATCCTTGTTTAATTAGTTACACAATTTTAGTATCTCCAAATGTCGTGGTGCAGTGGATAAGGTTAATAGTTTTTGGTAACGGGTGCTACATCTGAATGGGCCGAATCCAAATTAATAGGGCTCCAAGACGGATATAATGAGATGGGAAACCAGAAAAAAAAAAATTACACTTGTTATTAGTTGGTAGAGTGACTAAAAAGTTTGAAAATTGTGGTCCGCAAGTTAATTCATATGCCTAATTTCTTGTCTCGGTTCAAGTAAACATGCTAATAGTGTAAATAATGTTTACTCTATTAGTGTAGTTTTAACCTATGATGATAGGCTAGTATGAAGTTTCTCGGATTCTTCTAAAATCCTCCAAAAATGCACAACTTTTTTGAAGGATCACAATGACATTTTTGAACAAGTCTGAGGAGCATACCATTAGTTAACATTTCTACTAGATTACCATTTAATCCTTGTAGTATGTACCTATAATTAGTTCATGAGTGACTGAATTGTGTAAGTAGCTTTTTATACCGTCAGTGTATAAAACACAAACTCTTTTTGAATACTCATGGAGATCCCAAACCAGAATGCAGAAGTTCAAGTCTGATGATAGTGGATTTGCTGTTTCTAATGACCAAAGAGATATTTTTGTTCTACACAAGCAAATTCATGTACACAATTAATTTTGATATGCAAATGAGGAAATGGAACAGATGCATAGGCAGGCAACTGATCTTCTTTTATAAAGTCAAAAGTTTAGAACTTTAACTAGAGGTGGATGTTTTCCATTTCACTCTCCAACTCTCTTTGACATTTGCAAACAGTTGCTGGATTCCTCTCTTTCAAAAGTACTAATCATAGCACAACACTGTTAGAACTCCATAAGTAGACCATCGTGTGATCTCGATGTGCTGCTCTTCTGTTTCATTCTCCTCTCTGGGCTTGTCAATTTGTATGGGAGCCACCCTCTAAACAAATGAACCAACCTGGATTCACAATTAGCTACAACACCCTTGTTGTTGTCATGATTATTGCTTTGGTTCTCTGATAAGTCATCTTGATGGTGATTACCCTCTCGTTCACCTCTCCGTTGTCTGCTTTCACAGCCTTTTGATCTGCAAAAATGCATTTTCAAAGATGATGTTATCTATGTGCCCTTACAATGCCACTATGCAAGACAAATTCATACATATAGTGAACATTTCATAAAAATATGCATAAACTCTGCATGATCACACAAAGTGTGGTGAGCAGTACTGGCAAGAAATCAACATAGAAACTAGGGAAAATGCATAAGTACCCCCCAACCTATGCCCGAAATCCCAGAGACACACCTAACCTTTACTAAGGTCCTATTACCCCCCCGAACTTATTTTATATGTAATATTCTACCCCTTTTTGGCCTACGTGGCACTATCTTGTGGGCCCAGCACACGTTGACAATTTTTTCAAGGATAGTGCCACGTAGGCCGAAAAGGGGTAGAATATTATAGATAAATTCAGTTCGGGGGGGTAATAGGACCTTAGTAAAGGTTAGGTGTGTCTCTGAGATTTCGGGCATAGGCTGGGGGTACTTATGCATTTTCCCTAGAAACTATAAATGGAACATATAAATGACAATATTCTAGTATTAGAAACTATATATGGAAACACCTAGATGAACAAGATTCAACTTTTATGACCAAGTGTCTCCAGCAACTTAGGCCTAGTGTTTGCAATCTATGGAAGAATCAAGCATCGATAGCAAACAATACCATAACAGGCATGGGTGAAGTGCAATATTAGAACACATGAACCAACAATAAGGATGAAAACAATATACATATCTTACATGCTAGGTTCATTCTTACTAGGGTCCTCTCTCTCTGATCGCGTTTTGACCAGATTGTAACTGATGGAGACATGCCTCATAAAACTGAGCTGCAAATGCAAAAACATCAAGCTTTAGCGCGTTAAGGAAATGTTAAAAAATTCCACTTGGGCTTTATAACGAAAAAAGCACATAATCATTAGCAATGATCTGAAAAATTCTTAACTCCAGGGTGGAAAGAAACTGCTGAACGAGATCTCATAAGCCAGAATATAGACAAAATCGGATAAACAATCAGTCTAGTGAAAGAAACCACAGCCTCTGGCTATATGCAAACACCGTGTGAAATCTGTCTACGTGAGCAATCTTACATTTTCACGATTATCTAAAATATTTTGATGATAAATCTGTTTCTTTTCGGTTGGGAGAATTCATTTGAACCAGAATCTCCTTAGAGCCTTAGACCTTAGTAATTGAACCTGCTTTTTACAGGTCTCTCTTCAGACCATTTTCACCTCTTTATAGTGCATTCAGAATTATTTGCTAACGAAGATGTACTCGAAGGAGCTTAGTAATTTCCAAACAAACGGGAATATATTGAACCACACACATTCAACTGCAGATGTCAAGATTCTGATTTGGCTAAAAAAAATCAATTTTCTTCAAAGCCTATACATCTCCTTTTACAAATTGCATATTCCAATGCATTTGGCAACAAGTAACATAAGCAAATCATATAAAGATTAGATAAAAGAGAACTTTCCTAGAGTGGAAATATGATGAATGAGAAGAAACCTTATCGCCATCCTTGATCCGATAGGTTCCTAACAAATCACTATCAGTAAGTAGCTTCCGCCCATCGTAGCTCAAGCAAAAATGTCCCCATACATGTGACCTGTAATATTGTCACAATAAAACTAGTGAATTTGAAAGAACTAGCTAAGGTAATATACAGTGAAACAGCTATGCAAATTATGTCAGACAGAAATCGAAGTATAAGTCTCAAGCAATCTACAACAGAAGAAGTTTAGTTTGAAAGTTCCTTTTTGCAAAGCACATACCATGAAACCTTGCCTGTTCCTGTCTTCGGAAAATTACTGAAGACAGATTCCACCGCCTGTTTCAGCTCCGCCACTGTCCCATTCCTTGCAACTTTAATATCTGCACAACACAAAATTCAATTGATCTGACCATTTGAAAAAACATATGATACATGACCAATGATGAAGCTTACTAAGTAAAGCAATTTTTGAACCCCCTTTGCCACTCCACTAAAAGAATTCTCATGTCAAGGGCGTTTGAAAACTAATATACAACAAAACAACACAAAAAAGGACTACCTTTCACCCTATTTGCTTAATAGTGAAGGGATTTCAAATGAATCCCCTTCCTCCAAGCTAGCTCCGCCCCTGGATACATCAATTCTAGCGAACCACATGTGGATCAAACAAGGTAGTATAGAATAAGTGTGATAGCACCTAATGTCCTACTACCTTGGACTCAAACCATATATACATATCAAAATATTTAAAAAATCATATACATATAAGTACATGGGCGGAGCCATCTTAGGTGAAGGATGGTTTGGGGCACACTCTTGAAAATTATGTGGTATACAGAGGTTAAATGTTAGCTATTATGAGTGTATATTTAATTTAGCACCCCCTTAACACAACTGAGAAGAAAATTTGCACACCCTTCGCCAAATTCTTGGCTCCAAGATTGTATATGTATATACACACATATATGGGGGATTATTAGTAAGTCAGTTAGTTGGCTACTTGAACTTTCACCTCAGTGAGGGTTCATTCCCCACCTTGTAATCCCATACCATTCCCTAGCCCGAATAATTAAAAAAATACACACAAATAAACAATACTAATATCTGAATTCTGGATCCATTTCTAAGGGCATACACACATGAATTTCAGTACTATTTGAACTCACCGACTCTAAATCCTGAATTCGTCGTCTATACAGACACATAAAGATGGAGATCAATTTCAGTATTTCATAAGACAATTCAACAGGAGGAGGAAAATAAGAAAAAATACCAAAGGAAGAGCCATCCAATTTGAGTATTGTGAGATTGAATGGCTCCTCAGGCAACTTGTTGTAGTACAAGCTCTTTTGTGGGCTGAGCAAAAATGGTGGTACTACACAAGACAATGATGATCCATTCTTTTGAAATGAAAATCTAGGACTAACATCTTCTTCATCCCTCTTTAAAACTTCCATAACTAGTACACCATTTATAAGTAGTAAACTAAAACTATACTTGATTCATAACATCACCATTTTAAAGATCTCTAATTTGATCTCCTTAAGTTTTCTAATATTAAAATATAGTTATTGTTTTAGTAGTATTATTATATATATCTTTTGGTGATTGATTGATTCTTTGGTGCACATTTAAGGTTGTGGTTGGCTTATGTTGGAGGAAATTCTAAGTGGAACATAAAGAATTCAATTCAATTGCTTTCTACTATCACTTTCTGCCTACTTTTTTTTTCAATTCAGTGTCCGATATTTATATTGGAGTCCGACAAATTTAAATTTGCGTCTGAAAATCTCACATTGATATTAAAGCACTCTCTAACAAAGGCAACTCTTTATCCAAATAATTTAAATTCGAAAGCTATTAAGCTAGCGTTTGGCCACAGATTCCCAAATATTTTTGACAAATATTATTTGGGTGAAATTTCACCATGTGTTTGGCATAATATTTGGGAAATGTATTTCATATTTTTAATAAATTTGATTTATACCCATAAGTTTTAAAAACTATCAAAACTAACCATTGTATTACATAGCAAAATAGAAACGTCGACGTAACAAGATTCGTGACTTCCGCAACAAGTCAATTGGACCTTTGTTGCAGTAAATAACAAGTAGTGTCCATGACACTAGAGCAATGTGGTAGTGCAACAAGCATCATTCCATACATCGTGAAGTAGACGGAGCACATGACTTTATTACCCTGAGCCAATTATTCGTCATTTTCATCAACAACCATATCATCACTTTCATATTCACTGAATATTTCATCACTGGTTTGGTGTTCACGTAAAAAATTACTTATGTAATACAACATAAACAACTACTATGTTTTTGTAAAAGATAAAAGTTTGATATAGAATTTGAATTTTTTAAAGCTCCCAAATAATGAGATTTGACCCAAATACTAGTTTTTTCTAGTATTTGGGAATTTGGGTTATTTGCCAAAAATATTTATCAAATAATGACAAACTATATGGACAAACACTATTTGTCAATTTTTCCCCTAAATTTTACTTGAGAAATCTATGGCCAAACGAATCCTAAGAATGAAGAAATATTTATCGGTCTGTAACAACAGGTGACTTTGTGCCTACTTATTTGGTGCGTTTATGACTGGGAGGGAGAATTGTTGTTCCTAAATGGAATTAAACGTCCCTATCACGCGCCACAGATGGAATAACAAAGTTGGGCCACCGAGAACCCGTGATTCTACTAGGCCCGCTTCGATTTTAATCCTTTTCGTGAGTGCTTTTGGTACCAAATAAGATTGAAGAACATTAATCCTTGTCATAAAACGAGTGTTATGAATTAATTACATTATTTTTCTATTCTTTTTCAAATTATAAAAAAAATTTAAAATTTATGGATTTCGGATACATTATTGGACTTCCTGATACATCACTGGACATCCGGATACATAAGTGAGGGATGTATCCGAGAGGGGAGGGATGTATCATAGAGGGGATAGGACATCTGAATACATCACTGGACTTCCGGATACATCAGCAGACATCTAGATACATATGTGAGGAATGTATCTGAGAGGGGATAGGAATGTATCAGCGAGAGGAGAGTGATAAATTCGAGAGGGAATTTTTGAAATTTTTGTAAATGATTGAAAATTTTAGAGATTATGGAAAAATCTTATATGTATTTAGGTAATTTTTCCTAAAATGTATAAGATTCTTAAAGACCATAAATTCAATTCCTAGGTATAAATAAATTTTATGCTACACGACGCAAATCTAGAAAATAACAAAAAAAGAAAATAGAAAAGAAGAAGAATGTGTTTGTAGAGTAATAAACACATTTTTTTGTGTTAGGAACTTCTCTTTCTTCTTTACAATGTACAATGCACTATGTATTTGCTTTTCAAAGGAAGCTCCTCCTCTAGTACCCAATAGACTCCTATAAATCAATTAGGAGGAATAAAGTTTTTCTCTTTTTTTTGTTCAAAGGAAGAATAAAGTAAATCATGTGTTGTTGATATTCTTTTTAGGGATAAGAGTCTGAAAAATACTTCAATTTTGGCCGAAATTGTTGTTACGATACCAAACTTTATGGAGGACCTATTATCCCTGAACTATTTAATAGTGTATTTTTTACCCCCTGAACTATTTAATGGTGTATTTTAAAGGTATATATGTGCCCACGTGGACATATTACTATTTATAATTATGCATTATTTTTTATGTCCATGTGGACAAATATATATGTTTAAAATATGGTATTAAATAGTTTGGGGGTAATAGGTCCTCATTAAAGTTTGGTATCGTAACAGCAATTTCGGCAAAAGTTAAGATATTTTTCAAACTCTTATCCCTTTTCATCTTTGCTTTATTGAACATGTACATTTTTCCTAGACAAGAATGCTACACTTCTAACATAATCATATTTCCTTTTTAGTGCATTTAACAAGAATGTTTTTTCTTAAATTTGAAAGTTATTTAATTTCATTTTTATTTATCTTTATAACATAAATATTTTGGCATATTTAAAAATTAAAACTGATCATAAATTTGTATCCAATCGAAAAAATTCATATAAATTGAAACATCAAAATTGAAGTTGAGGAAAACAAATTACTTAGAGACGATCGATCATCTTGACAGTAATGGAACCACCTTTGTCAGAATATTATACCATGTAGGGTAAAAAGAAATTATGTATATATATTATATACATTGAATTTCTTTAAATTTTGTCTTGTGCATGCCCAATTGACACTTTGAAATGAAGTGGTCCACTTAGCTAGAAATTATACATTTCATCGAGACAACATAATTTTGTTCTACTTGTAATCATTCATGAACAATTTATTGTTCATATACGTGTACTTTGTCTTTTTTTTGTATGATTTGTTGCATTTAATTATGATTAATATCAGAAAATGAATCAAAGTTTAATGTGTTGAGTCCCACACATGACACATCATTCGTAGAATGGGGATTTAGGGACTCTTTATATGACCCTTTGGGGTCGTTTGGTGTGATGGATAAGATGAATTAATCCTGGAATAATTTTTTAGTGGCATTTAATTCATTGTTTGGTTGCAAAGGTAGGGATAACTTATCTCAGGATTAACAATTAGTCATGGGTTAAGTTATCCCTCACTGGGGGTGATATAGTAATCCCAGGATAAGTTATCATGGGATAAAGTGTATAAATTAACAAAAATACCCCCCTTAAACTCTCTTTTATACACCACTTTTACATTCATACATATTAACATAATTTTTAACAACATTTATAATATCATTCACAACCTTAAGTATTCGTTGTTTTTATGATAAATACATTTTTCTATTAAAAATTTACATTTTATAAATACAATTTTTATTTATGAATATATTATAAGTTAAATTTATTTGCGTAATTATTTATGTTTTATTTATTATTTTGATTTCTCTTAAAATGTTCACTCCACTACTAAATTACATATTTTTCATTAAAATAGTTTATTACTCACTTAAAAAATTATATTTTATTTATAATTAAAATGTAGATAACTTTAATAATAAATTTTCTTTTACTTTAATAAACTTAAAAAACAAAAGTTTTATTTTTAAGCTAAATAAGATGAAAGTTTTATTTTTAAACTAAATAAGATGAAAGTTTTATTTTTAAGCTAAATAAGATGAAAAATTTATTTTTAAGCTAAATAAGATGAACATTTATTTTTAAGCTAAATAAGACGAAAGTTTAATTTTTAAGTTAAATAAGATGAGCATTTAAATTTTAAAACATATGGCACAATCATGGAAATGCACACACAAAAATATTTAAGCTAAATAAGATGGAAATTTTATTTTTATGAATGAATAACTAAAGATTGCAAAGAAAATGTAAAAAAAAAAAAAAAAAACTATATAAGGTGAGGGTATTTTTGTAAACAAACAACTTATTCTCAAAAAATTATACAATGAATATTAGTTTGAATATGACAAACCAAACAAACAATAAAAACTAATCTCAGCATAACTTATCCCAGTAAACTTATCCCAGCATAACTAATCCCAACATAACTAGTATTCAAACCAAACGACCCCTTTAATTATGATATCGTCCATAGTAAACTGTCTACTAGTCTTACGCTCTAAATTAATGGTGTTTTTACGTTCTTCTGAAGTATAATTTTTTCTATGACCTTTTTAAGTTTTTTAAAAATTAAAAGAAAGCTGATTTCAATATTTAATTGTTCTCTTAGCATACTTTTTGATAGAAAAAATTCAGACATCAGTAATCAAAACTGACCCCAAAATGTTAAGTCTTGGGAGACATATGACTTCTTTTGGGAAAAAACAAGTCCTAATTAGACAACAATGTGATCCATGACTTTCATCATATGATATATTCATGCCCACTAAGGTAGCTCCATTTTGTTTGGTATATTAGATCCACATGATCATTACATACCACGATCATAATTTGATAACTCGTTAATTTTAACATAACATTTCTTATGACATATTTAAAACGATAAAAAATTAAAAAAAAACTGATATATTATACATATCTTTAGTATAAGAGATTCAGAACGACTAAATCTAAGAAAGTAAATTGTTTACTTTCTTAGATTTTGTGTAATTTATTAAATTATAAAAGAACAAATTGAAACGAAAAGAGTAATTGTTATCGTTGAGAAAAAAAAAAAATATGTTCCACCAATAACAAAGTACCAATTAGGAATTGTATACATTGAATGATACAAACCACCATGGGACTATTCAAGAACTGTGTAAACTTCTTGGAAACCAATTGACCCCAAAACACTCACCAAACCATTGTCTATCTTTGTTGGTTGTTTTGTCCATCTAGCTACAGATTCCACCCCCCACCCCCACCCCAAAAAAAAAAAAGCATATCCTATAATTTCATGTGGAAATATGTTCAACAAATAATTGTCATTCTCCCAAATGAATCCTACACGATGCGAATTTAAATCAGTCGAGTTTCAATATGAATATTGAATACTGAATGAGAAAACAAACATCCGACATAAGGAATCAACCTTTAATCCAATTTAGAAATATCAAGTAGCATGCTTCCAAACTAACCAACCAAAACCAATAGAATATTTTGCCAATTTTCTCATGATTTTTTTTTTGGAGATTTTTCAATTGATGAGAGTGGTTGCAT